AGGGGAAGCAGGAGGTGGAGGAAGAAGAGGGAGAGGAACAGGAATAGGAGGAAAAGCAGCCAGAGGAGGAGGATCAGAGGAAGGAGGAGGAGGGGGAAGGGCCGCCCAGGAGGGATCAGGTGCTTGAGCAAGGGGATGGGACTTACGTTCCCGGGAGCCCCCCTGGGAACATCTTGCGCGATAGGAGGAGGAAGAGCCCGAGAAAGAAGAGGAGGGGAAAGTTAAGGACGATAATATCGGTGAGGTGGAGAAAGGGAGGCACGCGGAATTACATTCCCGGGAAGTTTCCCGAGAACATATTTCGTGACAGCAGGAGGAGGAGGAGCCCGAAAAGGAGGAGGAGGACAGGAAGGTCCCCGTCAACAAGAGGTCAACAAGAGGCCTGGGGCCCCCGTCCGAAAGTCAACAAGAGGTCTGGGGTCGCCGCTGCCGCCTCCGAGGCCCTGGAAGCCGAAACCTGGTAAAAACACAAGGAAGAAGAGAGCAGGCAGCTTGTCCCGGAATCGTTTTGGAGCGCTCTGTGCGTGCCCTGGGACCTGCGGCAGGCCTCTGCAGAATGGTAGTGGAGATGTGTTCGGAGATCTGGGAAAGGCCCTGGAACCGTCGCTGGAGCCTCGGAGACCCTGCAACGCTGGCGCCTCGGAGGCCCTGAAACGCAGAAACCCTGCAAAAACACATGGAAAGTGAGCCCCGGAGCTCCCTGGAACCGTCGCTGGCGCCTCGGAGGCCCTGGAACGCTGGCGCCTCGGAGGCTCTGGAACGCCGAAGCCTGGTTATAATACAGGGAAAGTGAGCCCCGGAGCCCCCATGGGGAGCGCAGGTCCACTCCTGGCGGCCCCGGAGCTCCCTGGAACCGTCGCTGGTGCCTCGGAGGCCCTGGAACGCTGGCGCCTCGGAGGCCCTGGAACGCCGAAACCCTGTAAAAACACAAGAAAAATAAGCCCCGGAGGCCCCATGGGGGGCGCAAGCACACTCCTGGCGGCCTCGCTCCTGTTCCGCCGGCAGGTAAATACATGCACACCTATGTATACCTGCATTATATATATATATATATATATACAAACCGGAATACATATACATATACATATGCATATACATATACATATACATATACCTATACCTATACCTATACCTATACCTATCAATATACATACATACATACACGCACGTTCTCTTATTTTTCTTCCGGACGCCCTCGGTCACCACGGTGACAGGCCTAGAACTAGGAAGACAGAGGGGGGTGGACGGCTGTACGCGCGTCCGCGTATCATGCCGGTCTCGGCGGTGAAAGATGAGACTAGCGTTTCGAAGTATATGCCGCGAAATGCCACGGGAATTGTGTGACGATGGCCGTGTTGGACAACAACGGCTTCGACAACCCAAGCGGCCGCCGAACAGCATCCGTGTCGGACGCACGCTCTCTTTCTGGCTGTCTCTCTCTCTCTCTCTCGCTTCTCTGCCTCTCTCAATTTTTTTGTCATCATCGCTTGTTTCTCTCTCCCTCTCTCTTCCTCCCTCTCTCTCTATCTGTCGAAGGGTGGGGGGGTGAGATCGCAATGAAAAGATGACTCCCCAAACAAGGATACCAATTTCTGATTCACGTTCGTGTCGCGCCTGCGTGCGAGCCGAAACTGCGTGGGCGGGCGAGAGACATGAACCCGGCATTGTCAGGGCGAAACAGAACCAAACGTTGTTGTCCTCCCGGGTTGGCCAGCAGTGGTCCTGTGGTGTCCCGATGGTGTCCCGTTGGTGTCCCGATGGTGTCCCGACGGTGTCCCAATGGTGCCCCGCGGTGTCCTGTGGCGCGGGGGTGTTCCGTGTGCGATGTTTTGCGAGCGATGGTGAGATCCATTGAGTGGGATCGAAAGTGAGATCGATCGTGAAATTGGTAGTGATGTCGATTGAATGAGATTTGTAATTAGATCGATCGTGAGATCGATCGCAAGACCGATAGTGAGATCCGTCGTGAAATATATAGTGGCATCGCTTGAATTGGATCGATCGTAAAATCGATCTTGAGATCGACCGTGTCTTCGATAGTGGGATCAATTGCGAGATCGATTGAATGAGATCGATCGTGAAATCGATAGTGATTTCGACAATGAGATCAATAGGAAGATCTATAAGGATATCGATTGTGAAATCGATTGGATGACATCGATAGTGAGATCGATAGTGGGACAGATCGTGAAAGCGTTCGTTGGATCGATCGCGGGAGCGTTCGTGATATCGATCGTGGAATCGATGGTGAGATCGATAGTGGTATCAATCAAGTAATGGACAATGAGATCGATAAGGATCGATAATGAGATCGATGGTGAGATCGAAACAAAAATCGGTAATGAGATCGATCAAAAGATCGACGGGGAGATCGACCGGGAACCCCGGAATCCAAGAACCGCTAACTGGAACCACGGAACCCCGCCGCCCACCGAAATCGCCCCAGAACAAGCAATTGGGAACTGGGGATACCGGAACCAAGAACCCGGCCTCCTAACGAAATCGGCCAGAAACTTTCGCCAAATCTTTCAATTACACCAAAGAAAAACCCCAAACAATGAATGGTTTGATAATGAGTCGATGGTGAGATCGATTGAGTGAGATGAATAGTGAGATCGATCATGAGATCTATAATGAATCGTGGGGTCGAACAAAAAACGATAAGGAGATCGACCGGGAACCCGGGAACCTGGAGTCGGGAACCCATGAACCCAGCCGACCATCAAGATCGGCGGGAAACTTTCGCCAAATCTTTCAGTTTCAGCTGAGACCGCTTCAGTGCAAGCACTGATTGGGGAAACTTCGCTAGGACCCCTTCAATGCAAACACTGATTGGGGAATGTGGATTTGCATTGCGATGCTTGTACGAAGATGCTCGAAATCCCTCCCGCGTGTAGGAGTGATCGCCCACGGCAGCTTATCCGCTGGAAGCAACAACCGCCCAACAGTATCCCGCAAGGCGAACACTAGTGCGTAAATAATGGCACGCGCGGGAACAACCGAACGAGCTCACCTCAACATTGGCAGGCTCATACTGCGCACGATTACCTGCGCGATTCCCACATGAAGACGACGACGATCACGACGAAGGCGGCGCACATACTCGATTGGGAATGTAGCAATCCTTCTACAAGCAAGCTCAAACTCCTCTGTCGTGCAGGGTAGCCCAGCAAGCATTATCCGATCAAAGAAAAAACACCCAGCAATACACAGCACGGAAAACAATAGTGCGCAAATTATTGCACGCGCGGCAACCACCGAACACAGTCTACACTACTGTGGCAAGATCTTACTGCGCACGTCACTTCCGCGAGCCACATAGGAAGACGGCGACGACGACGGTCACGACGACGACGACAAAGACGACGCCGACTCGATTGGAGATGTAGAGGCTTGTAAGTCAATCATTCTACACGGAAGCTCAAAACTCCTGCACGAGGAGGAGGGCGAGGAGGGAGAGCGAGGAGGAGGGCGAGGAGGGGAAGATCGAGGAGAGGGAGAACGAGGGGGAGGGCGAGGAAGGGAGCACGAGGAGGAGAAAGATGTGGGAGAGCGAGTAGGAGGGCTGACGAGGGGAAGGGCGAGGAAGGAAGGGACGACTATTCCCGGCCGAGAACTTACGGGGGGGGGCCATCATTAAAGACCCTCCGCGAGTAACGGGCTACGTTGCATCACAATAGCAATTCGGCCCCTGACTTCCGTCCTGGGCTCGGTTTAGTGAAGTGATGAATTTCGGAGTCCTGACGCGGGAAAAAACATCACTTCACTAATCTGGGGCCCATGGGGCCAGTGTGGGCCCTGGGGCCCAAAATTAGTGACGTGATGGTTTTCGGGCCTCGGAGTTAACCCCAATTTTGTTTATAAGAAACAATGTTGGATCCGGCCGGATTTGGCCCAAGACTGAACTGGATCAGGCCGCATTAAGCGGGATCAAGCGGAATCTGACAGGATGATGCTGGATTCGCCCAGCGTTCGACGCTGCACTTGCAAGCGGCGATGCTGAATTTAGCATCCCAAGAGTTGCATCCTAAGGCCAAAAGCCTGCAACTGAGAAAACGAATGTGGATTTGCCATGAAAACAACGGGTCCTCAAGGAAACGGGTACTGGAACCCTCGGGCATTCCCCCAGGGCTGGCTTTCCGTCCAGAGTATTCGTTTGATGGCGCCAGAGCCCCGAAGGGCCCGGAGCGGCTGATAGCACAAGACGAACAGCATAGGCATGAGACTGTTGGAGCTCCGCGCGGAGCTCTGAGAGTGCACGTGTATGCAATATGTTTCCCTCGAGTCTCGAGATAGAACTGAACAAAAAAACCTATGGGACCACTTTTCTTCGACGAGAAAGCCGTCGGCGACGGTCGCTGCCGCCAGCGGCGCCGCTGCCCCTCGCCGCCACCCTTCTACTACCGCTGCCAAGGGCGGAACTGCCGCTGCGAAGCGCGTCCGGAACGAGTGCGGAAACATCGGGCACGACGAACAACAGCGAACGGTGCCCAAAGCCGACCGCAGCTGCTGCTGGCCTGGCGACGTCTGCCTGACATTGCCCCCGAAAATCGGCTGACTCCCTCTGGCACTGGCCTGAGGGGCAACGACTAGAGTCGGGGATGGACAGACCCCCCTTTAGTACAACGTGGTTTAGTGAAAACGACCTGAGGCCCAAACCTGGCGGGCGAGAAGCCTGGAAAATAACGGCCACGGCGCCCTTTCGAGAACCGAAAACGGGCAATTCACTAATCGACGTGTCACTGTTGGGGGTTCTGTCCACCCCCGATAGAGGGGGACTGGCACAAGGGGGGGGGGGAGCATCGACCTGCAATCGGCGGCACATCGCCGACGGATCCGCAATAGGCCTCTGATAGCAAATCCGCACGTTGCGTTCCTGGGCGGGTGGGGTTATCAGACCCCCATCGGCGATCAATAGGCAATTGGAGGTCGATGCACCTCCCTGGAGCCTACCCCCGCGAATGTTGCCCCTGATGGCAGGCCCGCGACGGCAGGGTCGCCTTTGTTGACGCCCATGTTCGCGGCGATCTGGTCGGCCCGCTGGTGGGTGCTCCAGAAGTCGTCGAGCTCCTTCGGCCCGCCCGCGGCTGCGCAGAGGGAGGACGGCACCGACCACATCGATACCGACGACGTGGGCGACGACGACTGCGACGACGACGAGCACAGCATCGACGACGGCGAAGATGCTATGACGTCGGCCGAACGTGGCCGAAGCTCCCGCGCCCCAGAGGCAGATCGCGTGGAGAAAGACTAGCCCCCTCTCAGTCCTTTCGAGCCGCCAGACTCGGCTACGCGCAAGAGTGACCCCATTGGCAAGAGTGACCGTTGCTGCGCGACTCTCGGGAGCCGCGGGGAGGCGAAACCCGAGCGCGCCAGACGCTGCTATGTCGCATTGCATTCAGCCACCCGGGAGCCCTGGTGTGCCCATCGGCGGCGACGCCGACGCCGCTGGCGACGAAGGCGCCGGCGAAACCAGCCGCTGGCGAAACCAGCCGCCGGCGAAACCAAAATACCCAAAAAATATTCACAAAAAGGTCCCCAGACTATTTTTTTCCTATTTTTGAATTTTCCTTCTGTAGGGGGACGTGCCCGACATAAAACCAGCGCCGGCAAAACCAGCGCCGGCGAAACCAGCGCTGGCGAAACCAGCGCCGGCGAAACCAGCTCCTGCGAAACCAGCCCCGGCGAACCAGCCCATGCCATGTGCCCGCACCCAAAGTCACTCCGGCGAAATCGTCACTCCTGCGTGAAGCCGATAAACGTCTGGGCATGCGCGCTCCCTGCCCCGCCCCAGGGTGTCCTGAGCGTCGAAGCCCTCGTCCTCGATCGCGCCCAGCCTGGAGGGGCTCGATGTACACACTGCGTTCTTTGGTCGGCCAAAGGACTCGGTGTGGACTGTAGACTAGATCGTCCGTGTTTATTTGCTGGGTGAGCCTTCATGGGAACCTCTGTGAATCTCCGCAGCCCTAGTATCAGGTCGGGCAAATCCCCCTAGTGGCCCATTTTGGACGAGAAAAACAAATACACTAAAAAATATCCCAACATGGTCAAAGATTGTAAAAAATCATCCCATGACTATTTTTCCCCATATCCTAAGATGGGGTTCTTGTTATTACTTGGACGCCTCCTACTCCTCCTCCTTCCTCCTCCTCTTTTCTCCTCCCCTCCTGTCGGACTTACTCATACTCACACTTGCTCATACACAGACTTACTCATACTCAGACTTACTCATACTCAGACCTACTCATACTCAGACTTACTCACACTCAGACATACTCATACACAGACTTACTCATACACAGACTTACTCACACCCAGCCGTACTCATACACAGACTCACTCATACCCAGACTTACTCATACACAGTATTAGTCATACTCAGACTTACTCATACCCAGACGTACACATACACAGACTTTCTCATACACAGACCTACTCATACCCAGACTTACTCATACACAGACTTACTCATACACAGACTTACTCATACTCAGCACCCCTAAGGGGAGCCGCCAGGGGTGGTTGCACGGGCTCGTTCGCGGCCATTTTGTGGGGATGTCTCAGGCGGTTTGCCTGTTTCTGGGCCCAACATCCTTCGCTTGGAGAGCAGATTGTGAGGATGTCTCAGGCGGGGCGCTGGTTTCAGCACCCCTAAGGGGAGCCGCCAGGGGTGGTTGCACGGGCTCGTTCGCGGCCATTTTGTGGGGATGTCTCAGGCGGTTTGCCTGTTTCTGGGCCCAACATCCTTCGCTTTCGGAGCAGATTTGGAGGATGTCTCGAGCGAGGCGCTCATTTCAGCACCCCTAAGGGGAGCCGCCAGGGGTGGTTGCACGGGCTCGTTCGCGGCCATTTTGTGGGGATGTCTCAGGCGGTTTGCCTGTTTCTGGCCCAACATCCTTCGCTTTCGGAGCAGATTTGGAGGATGTCTCGAGCGAGGCGCTCATTTCAGCACCCCTAAGGGGAGCCGCCAGGGGTGGCTGCACGGGCTCGTTCGCGGCCATTTTGTGGGGATGTCTCAGGCGGTTTGCTTGTTTCTGGGCCCAACATCATTCGCTTTCGGAGCAGATTTGGAGGATGTCTCGAGCGGGGCGCTCATTTTCACCCCCCAGGTGGGCCAGATTTTGAGGATGTCTCGATCGGTTTGCTTGTTCCCCATATCCTAAGATGGGGTTCTTGTTATTACTTGGACGCCTCCTACTCCTCCTTCCTCCTCCTCTTTTCTCCTCCCCTCCTGTCGGACTTACTCATACTCACACTTGCTCATACTCAGACTTACTCATACACAGACTCTTACTCATATTTACTCATACTCAGACCTACTCATACTCAGATTTACTCACACTCAGACATACGCATACACAGACTTACTCATACACAGACTTACTCACACCCAGACGTACTCATACACAGACTCACTCATACCCAGACTTACTCATACACAGTATTTCTGGCTCAACATCCTTCGCTTGGAGCAGATTGGAGGATGTCTCAGGCGGGGCGCTCATTTCAGCACCCCTAAGGGGAGCCGCCAGGGGTGGTTGCACGGGCTCGTTCGCGGCCATTTTGTGGGGATGTCTCAGGCGGTTTGCCTGTTTCTGTGCCCAACATCCTTCGCTTTCGGAGCAGATTTGGAGGATGTCTCGAGCGAGGCGCTCATTTCAGCACCCCTAAGGGGAGCCGCCAGGGGTGGTTGCACGGGCTCGTTCGCGGCCATTTTGTGGGGATGTCTCAGGCGGTTTGCCTGTTTCTGTGCCCAACATCCTTCGCTTTCGGAGCAGATTTGGAGGATGTCTCGAGCGAGGCGCTCATTTCAGCACCCCTAAGGGGAGCCGCCAGGGGTGTTTGCACGGGCTCGTTCGCGGCCATTTTGTGGGGATGTCTCAGGCGGTTTGCTTGTTTCTGGGCCCAACATCCTTCGCTTTCGGAGCAGATTTGGAGGATGTCTCGAGCGAGGCGCTCATTTTCACCCCCCAGGTGGGCCAGATTTTGAGGATGTCTCGATCGGTTTGCTTGTTTTGGTGGCCAGGCTCGTGGGCGCAGATTCTTCTCAGGATGCCACAGGAGGCTCCAACAGGCTCCAGGAGGCCCCAGGAGACCACATGAGGTCCCAGGAGGCATCAGGAGGCCACAGAAAGACTCAAGAGGCCACAGGATGTCCCAAGAGGCTCCAGGAGGCCCCAGGAAGCTCCAGAAGGCCTCAGGAAACCACAGGAGGCCCCAGGAGGCAACAGGAAGCGCCAGGAGGCCTCGGAAGGCAACAGGAGGCCCCGAGAGGCCCCAGGAGCAGGAGGCCTCAGAAGGCAACAGGAGTGGCTCCAATCCCATGTGTTTTACGTATGCTCCTATCGATTGGGCCTCACCTGGAGCACGATTCTTTGATGTTCTACGTATGTTTCTATAGATGGTCCTTCTCCTGTGTACACAATCCTAAATGTTTTACTCATGTTCCTATGTATTGGGCCTCTCCTGGGGCACGAGTCCTTGGTGTTTTACGCGTGTTCCTATAGATTGCCCTTCTCCTGTGGCTCTAATCCGCAATGTTTTATGTACGTCTGTTGCTATAGATTGCGCCTCTCCTGGGGCACGAAACCTTCCTAGGAGGTCCCAGGAGGTCCCAAGAGGCTCCTGGAGACCCCAGGAAGCCCCAGTAGGTTTCAGGAGGCCCCAGGAGGCCCCAGGCTCATGCACAGAGACGCGCTCGTACTACTGAGGCTCATTCACACTCCAATTCATTCGCAGTTAGATTGATGTCCAGACCGTCACAACTGAAGCCCGTTAATATTCGAAAGCTCTTGCGCCTAGACATTCACGGCGGACAGGCCCATGCGAGTAGATGTACATATGGGAAGCTCCACGCAGTGAATAATTAACTATTTTTGAATATTCCTCCTGTAGTGGGACAGGCCGGACTTAACCCTAGCAAAAAACGTGAACTCGACCGGAGTTCGTCGAGAATTTGACCAGCCCTCTGCACCCTCTCGTCCAGACTTCGCCCAAGTGTCTACCACATCCGACGGAATCTGGACGGAATGCCTCCACCGTCACGAATTTGAGAACCCTCTGAGGCTCCCATGATGACGACCTACCAAAACAAACCACCCCAACCCAACCCGAAGACCCGAATTTCGGGTAGGGGGGGTGCGGGCTTCATTCAGATGTGTTTTTCCCCACATGCTTGGTGGGGTTCTGGTTTTCTTCCCTTCCGCGTCTCACCCGCGTCTCCTCCTTCTCCTCCCTCTCCTTTTCCTTCTTTCTCACCTCACGGAGAGCGCGGCAGGCGTGGCTCCTCCCTCTCCTTCTCTGCGCAGGGCACAGCAGGCGTGGCAGTTTCTCGACACCAGAGGGGGTGCGCAGGGGGTGGTCCCTGAGCGCGGCGTCTATGCGGGCCATGGCGCAGGGCACGGCAGGCGTGGCAGTTTCTCGACACAGGAAGGGGGTGCGCAGGGGGTGGTCCCTGAGCGCGGCGTCTATGCGGGCCATGGCGCAGGGCACGGCAGGCGTGGCAGTTTCTCGACCCCAGGCAGAGCGCGCAGAGGGTGGTCCCTGAGCGTGGCGTCTATGCGGGCCATGGCGCAGTGCACGGCAGGCGTGGCAGTTTCTCGACACCAGAGGGGGTGCGCAGGGGGTGGTTCCTGAGCGCGGCGTCTATGCGGGCCATGGCGCAGGGCACGGCAGGCGTGGCAGTTTCTCGACACCAGAGGGGGTGCGCAGGGGGTGGTCCCTGAGCGCGGCGTCTATGCGGGCCATGGCGCAGGGCACGGCAGGCGTGGCAGTTTCTCGACACCAGAGGGGGTGCGCAGGGGGTGGTCCCTGAGCGCGGCGTCTATGCGGGCCATGGCGCAGGGCACGGCAGGCGTGGCAGTTACTCGACACCTCGACACGAGGGTGCAGGGTGGAGTCTCGATATGCGTGACCAGGGGTCGTGCGCATAGGCATAGCAGGCGTGGCATTTTCTCGACACCAGAGGGGGTGCGCAGGGGGTGGTCTCCCCATGCGTGCCAGGGTCGTCCAGGCATAGCGGCGTGGCATTTTCTCGACACCAGAGGGGGTGCGCAGGGGGTGGTCTCCCTATGCGTGCCAGGGTCGTCCAGGCATAGCAGGCGTGGCATTTTCTCGACACCAGAGGGGGTGCGCAGGGGGTGGTCTCCCTATGCGTGCCAGGGTCGTCC